TTCTAACTGATCAAATCACTATTTTCACTGTAAATAGCATCTATGGCAGGGGTGTCCAAAGTCCGGCCCGCGGGCCAAATACAGCCAGTGGATGAATTTCAACCGGCCCACAGCTTGTCTATTGAAATGTAACTTATTATATGTGGCCCGCCAACCATAATTTACAAATCATGCAGTTTCACAATGTCAACACAAAGTGACAGCACTAAATCTTAGGCCAGATGTATCAGTAAAACGTGAGTGACAACAATTTGACTCGTATGCACTGCCACTATCATTTCTTTAGCGCACGAGAATTCCTAAACGCACCAAAACAGAAAAACAGCGCTACTAGTGTGAAGCGTGCTGCACGGACCATCTGCCTAAAGACAGTGCCGTGCGAGCTCAGAACAAATGCGTTTACTCGCAGGTCTTGATCATGCGACCACTAAACAGCGCTGTGAGAAGGAGCAGAGCTCTCCGATACAAACCACAGATTCCGCGGTGATTTAAACAAGATTAAAGGCAGATGAAACAGCGCTGTGCTTGATTTCCACTTTTCCGATGTGATATGTGATGAGAAAAGGAAGAAATGCGAGTTTGGAAAAAGACGCATTCGATCCATGGTCGATTGCATCATATGCTACATCCATGTGCATTACTCTCCAACCTATACCCCTGCAGACGCTGTCTGACACTCTGCAATAAGATTAAATGAACCTGACACGAGTGTGTTTATTCTCCGCATTTTAATTCAACTTTTTTCTTTTTTTAATTCAACTTTTTTCTCGTAATTTAACAAGTTTATTCTCAACATTTTATTTAGACTTTTTTCTCAAAATTTAACAACTTTTTTCTCAAAATTTAACTACTTTTTTCTCGTAATTTAACGTTTATTCTCAACATTTTATTTAGACATTTTTCTCAAATTTTAAATTTTTTTCCCTCAAAATTTAAAGGGGGGGTACAACGCTGTTTCATGCATTCAGAGTTGTTTACACTGTTAAAGAGTTGGATTCTCATGCTAAACATGGCCAAAGTTTCAAAAAACGATTTGGACGTATAACCGAGTATTTCTGTGCCAAATACACACTTTCGGGTTTCTTACAAGTTTCGGAAAGTTTTTTTTCGATCGTGGCTCTTCATGACGTAATGAAGTGTGGAACTCCTTATATGGGCATTTCTCCCGGAAGAGCGCGCCCGCGCACACATCGACCAGAGCGAGAGCAAGACCGCACCCATCAACACGCTTCATTCAGCAGCGCTGCATGGGACTCGCTCAGGAATAATGTCTCTAAAGAGGTGTGTTTTTGGTTGTAAGGGAAAGGTAACCTTGTTTAGCTTCCCGAAGAATCCATCGTTACGTAAACAGCGGATGCAGTTTGTTTTCCGGGGCAGCAACGAAGCTTCGCAAGTGTGTTTGTTGACGAACGTTTTATAAACAAGGCCCAGTTCGACGCTGGATTAGAACATCGTTTGATACTGAAAGATGGAGCGGTCCCAGCTATAAAAGATCCCGGTCATGATGCAGACGGTAAGTGAAACTGCATCAAATGTCTGTGTTTTGTTGCGCAGTACTACTCTATAGGTACTCAAGATTAATATGAGATTGGGTGAAATTGTGTGTTAGGTCCCCTTTAACAACTTTAATCTCGAGATGGTTTTATTTTTTTATTATTGCTTGGCCCTACTCCCCATCCGTACAAATAACAGGGTCAATTTAGCCTGAATTAAGGTATACAGACACAATATAAAGAAACATATTTTATATGTTATCATTTGTACAACATATAAAAATAAAAACATATTTAAATTCATAACTGTTAATAATGCAGTGAAATAATATACACAGAAACAAATCTATTGTAGAATTTACTTTGAAATTGTTTTTACTCAGAAAACACACACACACACACAAGACAAAGAAAAAGCAAGTAACACATTGAATTAAATTTGAAATTTTAAAGTAGAAAAACTGAAATTGTATTTTATTGTAAAACATACTCCCATAATGTGTTTTATTTCAATTTTTTTAAACTGTTGTTTCAGTAGCTCAATTTTTACAGCACGGCACTTCCACCGCCAAGGTTGGCAGATTTTTATCTATCACTAGAGACCGGTGAGCTAATCTTGCTTCTCATGATGCTGAAAGCTGATAGTTCACACTTATTGTACACACAAACCACAGCAACAAACCCTCCCAAAGTCATACACTAAAAAAACTGAAATTGCTCTATTGCCAGCGGCTTACAGCGAGATCAACTCTAGTATTCAACACACAGTGCTGATACAGGGCCCCTAAACCCCCAAACAAAAGAGAGGAAGGCTGTATAAAATGGCAGAGGAGATATAGAGAGGGGATATATTGATTTTTCTGTAAGCGAAGTAGGACAGGTAGGTTGCGAGGTGTCCCTCAGGTCCAGAGCGTGTAAAAACTGCCCGCTTTTTGTGTCTGTGTTTTTATGTGCCATCGTTGGTATATGTGTGTGTGCTGGTGCCAACGGTTCATTAACGCCAACTCCAATAAAGCCTTTATCTGCGGCTCACAGACGCGGCGCTGACCACGCTGTCACTGTCAGAAACCGGACACACACTTTCCCTCTCACACTGCTCTCAAACTGATACTGTAAAAGCAGGTATGGTTAGAAGATAAGGGACGAGCTCTCCAAATTCCCAACTTATGAACAAACACAAAAATACACTCCAATCCACCAATAAGAGTAAGCAAAGCTGAAAGTACATAACCATTAGCCAATGTGATAATATTATCAAAAATGCATCAGAAGAAATTATAATATATACACTACTGTGCAAAAGTCTTAGGCCATTAGTATTTTCACCAGCAAAACATGGTTTAAAGTCAGTTATTTCTATCTTTTGCTGCAGTGTGTCAGTAGGACACATTTCCAAACATTCATTTTGATATTTCCTACTGACACACTACAGCAAAATATAGAAATATCTGGCTTAAAACTGGCTGGCTTTTGTTGGTGAAAAATACTAATGGCCTAGGACTTTTGCACAATAGTGCAGCTTGTCCACCATAGATATGCATAGGTAGATCCCACATTCACAGACTGGATTTGACCGATCCAATATGGTCTATGGCTACATATAGCAGCACATAGAAACAGCCGCTAATTAGGCATCTATGTATATATATTTATATCTATGAATCACACCACATGTTTTGTGCTGAGATCCTGTTATAAAATGTAGCTTATTTTGAAAAGCTTAAAGTATTTTGCAAAAATGCATGAGAATAAAAAAAAACAAAAAAATAAAATAAAAAATAAAAAATAAATAAAATACAGTTTGGCCACCATGTATATAAAATAAACTCTTTAAAAAAGTATTTTGCAAAACCATTTTAGAAAAAAAAAACAGCAACAACAACAACAACAAAATACAGTTTGCCCACTACAGTATGTTTTGTTTTGCAATCCTGTTACCAAAACTGTTTTTCATTTTTATTTCTTTAAATCAATACTTATACAATATCAACATAATTAACTGAATTAATGCTCAGGCAAATACACCTATGTCTAATGCCCATCTACAGCTCAAAAGGTCACACTTTATTTTAAGGCCCAAATCTCGCTATTAACAAACCATCAACTACAACTTTTGCCTCAATAAACTCCTAATTTGCTGCTTATTAATAGTTAGTAAGGTAGTTGTTAAGTTTAGGTATTAGGTAGGATTAGGGATGTAGAATATGGTCATGCATAATATGTGTTTTATTAGTACTAATAAACAGTCAATGTGTTAATAATAGGCATGCTAATAAGCACCTAGTTAATAGTGAGAATATTTTAAGGCCCAAATCGCGCTATTAACAAACCATCAACTACAACTTTTGCCTCAATAAACTCCTAATTTGCTGCTTATTAATAGTTAGTAAGGTAGTTGTTAAGTTTAGGTATTAGGTAGGATTAGGGATGTAGAATATGGTCATGCATAATATGTTTTATTAGTACTAATAAACAGCCAATGTGTTAATAATAGGCATGCTAATCAGCACCTAGTTAATAGTGAGAATTGGTCCCTATACTAATATACTATGGTCCCTATACTATGTTACTGCTTAAAACTATACCGATCTAACGCTAAAACTATACCAATGTGGTTATGTGAATTCTCATTATCATTCATAGGTATTTGCACATTAAGTGTAGTTTTGTTAATTTTTCTATTTTATTTTGAAAGTCTTAAAAGTCTGCAAAATGCAGTTCGTATGAGTGTGAAGGTGCTTTTGTTTTGTTTGAAATCCAGTTTCCAAAATTGCTTCCCTAAGTCCCAAAACCCTGCTTTGTGTGAAACAAACAAAAACCAATGTAATTAATCAAATACATCTAGGTGTAATACCCATCTACAGCTCAAAACCACTGTCCATGACAACAAAAGGCTTTCAAGGCAGCACTCTGTGATGCAGGCTGCACCTTTGACAGAGACAGACAGAAGCACAGATATGGGGTTGCGTCCCACTGGAATGATGATGTTTGTGTTTGCAAACATGCAATCAGTCAGCGCTAATGGCAGCTGAACTGCACCCTAATCTTTAATCGACTGGCTAATTAGAAAACATCATGCAAATTGTGTGGTAATTACATCTTAATCGTGCCGTGATTGGACAAGTGGAGTATGCAAGCGATAGAGGGCAGGGAAGAAAAAAAAACAGTCCCCTCACACATGAATGCCATCCCAAACTGGGATATACTCGGTCAAAGGTTTGTAAAAATGCAGACTGTTACCAAACTCTCCATACAAAACTAAACAAACCAACACATATTAAAGCTGAAGTGTGTAATTTCGGCACCACTAGTGTCACAGAATAGAATAATAGCAGAAATAATGACTTTTGGGGCTGGTGGGGATACACAAACAAACAAACAGAGTTTTCAGTTTCAGTGTTTTAATAGTGTCACAGAGCAACAGTGTTTATGCTGTTATGGCTTACTGATAGCAGTCTCTGCATATTATAGTGAAAGCTGTTGTGAGGTGAGTGGAGAAGGTCTTACCCCACAGCCGAGTCCATTCCCCAACTCACAGCAGACTCTCCTGCCATCATCCACAGGAAGCAGCCCGGCACCACATCCTGGAGCGGGACACAGAACTCCTCCCATCTGAAGAACACACTCCTCCGCTGCGTATCGCTGGTAGCGCTCATACTGGAAAACAGAGATGGACTGAGTCTAAAAACAGCCTGGTAATGTTAAAACAGGATAGCTGACCCAACAATTGCTCATTCCAAACCTGTATGACTTTCTTTTTACTGTGGAAATACAGAAATATATTTTGAAGAATGTTGGAAGCTAAACAACTTCCACTGCATGGATAAAAAAAAAAAATACTGAGACATTTCTCAAAATATCTTCTTTTATGATCCACAGAAGAAAGAATGTCATGCCATTTTGGAACGGCATGAGGGTGAGCAAATAAAAAAAAAAAATATTTTCGGTCTAACTATCCCTTTAAGTGTGTTAAAGACTCGCAAAAAGTCAAACCCAAGTTCAAACACTGGATAATGATAGACTTTTAAATAAAGTCAGTAGGGATGCACCAATGCATCGGCCAATGAATTTAGGGCTGTCCAGGTTAAAACAATAATAATGCATAAACTCACCACCGTTAACGCAGGTTCATAAGGTATGTTGACAGATACAGTACAGCTTACTGAAATGTATCATGTCTCATGTACTCTTTTAACCAAAAGGAAGACGTCAAATAAAACAGCTTGTGAACAATGTCACTTAACGTTGAATTTACCTCAGGAAAGTTATCCACTGTTCACAGTTAATTAGTTAGCTATAAAAACACTACAGGGAGCTTAATTACTGTTAATTATGTATATGTTAATAAATCTGTCATGAAGACATGTTTTTATGAAAACTACCTTATGAGCAGTTGAATTGTATACAAATGTTTTTGAGTGCGATTATTATATCTGAAAATAAAAAGCATTGATTGTAATCGTGTTGATTTTCTTTTTAACCTCTGATGTACCAAATGAGAGGGTTCCCTGAACAGTTTACAGCATTAGTTGGGAGAGATTTTTTGTTTCCTTAAGAAAACCATCTATCGGTATCAGCAGATATCATTCTGAACAATCAGCTACGGTATCGCTGAGATATTGATTTTCTCAATTGCTTTGGCTCAATTCTCGAATTAGTGTTTTTCTTTCTTTTTTTTTTTTAGATGTCTATACAATTAGTTTCTTGTTCAAATAAGATTTGAATTTCTTTTTTTCTTTTTTTTAGGCAACTTGCATGTGTTTTGGCATGTGTGCAAATGATTTAGTACAATTGTCTACAATTTGCACAACAACTAAATGCAGTGTATTACTTTTGGAAAGTTTCCAGAAATGTTCCACCCCTTTGCAACCCTACTTGACCATTGTACTAAAATAGGAATCACAATTTTGCCAATCAATGAAGTTTGGAAGCATAAATATGTGAAAGAGTAATAGTAAGATATGTAAGAATGTGTGGTGGTGGTGTTAGAGGAAGACAATAGTGTGTAAAAATGAATAAGTAATGGTGAATTTTCAGTTTGCCTGTAACACATTTCTAAAAAAATAAATGTACTGTATAAATTGTACTTACAGTTTAGAGAATGTTAAGACTGAAATGTAACAGCTTAGAGAAAAAAAAATAGTTTACCTGTGTGTTTTTTGTTGAGTATTATATTTGATAGATCAGTCTTTTATGACTCATTTATTAGTTCATATGTTGAAAACACCTCAGTTTTATTAAGTGGCACAAAATATGCAATTTGGTGTGGTTGCTGATATTTACATGGCCAAAAAGTAAGATGAAATTCTGCTTGAAATGTAAACCAATGAAATCTTTGTAACTGTATAACAGACTACTTACATAAACTGCATATACAGTAAATATTAGCTGTCACTCTATATCTCCCAATAATATGTCTTTGTACACGCTTGAGGTATTCGGCCAATCACAATGCACTGGATAGCTGGCCAATCAGAGCACACCTCGTTTTTCAGACCGATGAGTTTTGTAAAAATCGACGCGTTTCAGAAAGGCGGGGCATAGAGGAGAAACAATAATGTGGAAATGTGGACATAATGTGTAAAGTATGTGGAAAATAATGTGTTTTTTTAAACTTAAATCGCATAAACACATTTCATTACACCAAATACACAAAATAATGTTCTTTTTAGCAACATCATATGACCCCTTTAAATGCTTTAATAATCAAATCTCTGTAGTTTTACTGTGGGGCAAACATTTAATGCAATGCAATGCAATGATGATTGAATGAGAGATAAGAGATGAACAAATAAACGTTCTTCAAAAGCCTGATTTTTCTAAAAAAAAAAAACATGCATGAATAATCAAGTAATGTAACTCCAGTCCCCTAAGTGTTCATCTTGAAATATTACTAACAATATAAAAGGAATTTTTAAGTTTACTTTATTAAAATTACTAAAGATTTCACACACACACACACACACAAAAAAAAACATATGTGTCAAAGTATAACCCAGTGTGCATCCAGCGTAAATTTGGTTTTGACATCTGGCCCACAAGCCCACTGTCCCAACAGGACAGGAGAGAGTGAAACGAACAACATGCACACAGATGTCAGGAGAGGCCACTTGACATAACAACATGGTCGGAAGCATAACGACAGAAGCATCCCTAATGGTGCTTTGCAAAGGTGTCGCATAACAGCTCCAATTGGTGTGAAAAGTTCAAAGACAAAAACTTGGTGAAGACGGTAGGAAGGATGTAGAAACACATCGAAAGGAAGCCGTTCCTCACTGCAAGGATGGCTGGTGTGATGGTACGGAGCTGAGGTTTTGTTGCCAGCGGAGGGTTTAGTGAATGGCACGGGGGAACAACAGATGGGCCAATTAAGAGCCTCTCACATGTGACGATCTGACAATCAGGATGAACTTGGATTTCTCATGAGCCGTGATCAGGACAGGGAAGGTTGCTTAGAAGCTGTCTGTACATGTGTGTAAGTGAGACCTGCGGATCTCAGAGTCCAAACCTACCTGCTCATCTCCCAGGACTCGGAAATGATGAACCTCTTTAATGAGCGAATCAGGACAGCCGGCTGGAGACAGAGAAAGAAACAAAAAGTAATACAGTCAGAAGGATAGAGTTAGCATGGGATGAAACAGCTATCAAAAGCAGATAGTTCACCCTGAACTTATTCCATACCTAAAAGACTTTCTTTCTTCCATGGAACATAAAAGAAAATATTCTGAAGAATTTTGGGGTTCACATAACATTGGACATCACTGACTTTAATTGCATGGACAAAGAGATGAGTATGAAACAAAGTCATGCAGGTTTGGAACAGCATTCAAATCACTTTGGTGGTCACTTTGGAGTTCAAAGAAAATCCCAGTGCAACATATCTCTTTAAAATCAACATTAAATCAAAATGAAACAGAATGCTTGTCATAAGCTCTCATAAACAATCTCAAATCACATGGTTTATAAGGTTATTTTTTCCCCTGATGATGTAAAACCCAGAAAAACTAGATTAATTTCTATTCCCGGTTTAAATAGATCTCTAGGAATTCAATGTTCGCATATAGAATCGTATTTGCAAGGAATATTTACTTTTGGTGTGAAACCAGTGTGAAATCTCATCCTGCTCAATGTTAAATCGTAAATTAGTGTTGGTTTTGTCTAACTGGTGAAATCCAATGAATACAGCTTTGTTATTCAGGTCAATGACATGACACTCATCTTTTTTTTTTTTTCAAAAATACATCAAAAAGGCAATTGACAATGACATAAATACACCATTTTGACATTTATAATTTCTGAATTTAAAATCCATTTTCATTTATTAACTGGTGTGGGCATGAAGTCAAAAATGTCAGGGTTATGTAACTGTCCTTATATCATAATGAAGAATAAAGCCTCTTAAGCCATTAACATTCCCAAAATAAAACCATATTAGGTAGTTTGGCATAATCTTTTTACTATTATTAATTAGAAAAAAAGCAATGTAGCAGTTTTGTTAAAGTCTAATGTGCAACCAAAGTCAGAAACATGCGAGGAGGAAAATGAAGACATACAACAGGAAATGATATCGACTACTGCAGAGTAGACCCACATGACTATGTATCTAGGTAGATTAGTGTGTATTATATACGTATATATATATATACACACACACACACACACACACACACACACACTAAAAACAATAATTTAGATGTGTAAATTCACATGTATTCAAGGTGTAAATATGTTATAAAATTGTATTTGTTGGTTAAACCACATGACATTTTATAATCATTAAATTGAAATTGTTCCTTTTTGCTGACCCAGCATACCACAGCAAAACACAGCTGGTGAAACTGGTTGACCTGACCTTTCTATTCTCGCTAGTTGACCAAGCAAGTATTGGTCATCTTATTTCGATGGAGGGAAAAACCATGGAAAAATTGTGATTGGGCTAGTTTTGAATCGCAATTGGGCTGGTTTTGTTTTGCAGACCTGGCAACCCTGCGCCAGCATCCAAAACACAACATACGCTGGCCATTTCAGCTGGGCGTTCCTCATCAAAATGCAACAGGAAACGACAAGCGAATATATTATCATACATTACGCCCCATGTCCTGTACTCAGGCGTACACAAACGCTAATGAGCGCTGCTCTTACGGGGAGGCCCACCACTTACGATGCCGATAAGCACCCAACAGCCACCTCAGGGTCACGCTCTGAGAGGAGAGGCCTTTCATTTGAGCCGCCTAATCTCCAGGAGGAGAGGAGAAGCACCTTAATGGGGAACAGAGCCAAAGAGGTCCCTCGTATTCCCGCTCCGCAGAAACAACTCGCTGTTAAATCCACACAGGATAATTATGGACGGCAAATGAGTGAAGATGAATGTGCGTGAGCTTAGGCAGGGGCCCGGACCCCGAAGTGGCAGTCCAATCCTCTCCTCTAAAAAGCGTGGTGTAATGATGTGGTCCCTTTTGTGGGGAAACGTTTTGCTTTGGACCAAAGATTCCTGCAACACACCAATTATCCCTTAGGAGACTAATGACTACTTAAATCTGCATGTGATGGCACTCACACACACACACACACATCCTTGGACGTCTTCGTACACCTAAGTGAAGTGGAACTTTAAATCACAAAAAGTGAAATGGAGTGATCTCTAAAGATAAATGTAGATGTAAAGGCTGATAGCATGTAGTACAAAACAAGCTTATCAAATCGGAGAGGAGAAATTTCACATCACAGACGTTCTGCTCCCTGCCGATTTGCTTTTGTGTGAATAGATAGAGGAAATATGCAAGCTGTCGGGGTTCATTTGAGACCATTAAGTAACATCTTTACAGCCACAAAAGACAGATTTCTCCCCTTAAGTCATTCCAAACTAATAAGACCTTCATTCATATTCAAAACACAAATGAAGATATTTTTTAATGAAATTTGGGAGATTTCTGTCCCTCCACTGAAGGTACAAAATTTTCAAAAAGTTCATAAAAACATTGTAAATATAATCCATATGAATTAAGTGACTTATCCCAAGTCTCCTGAAGAGACACAATCACTTTGGACAGATTTCATTTAGGCTTATTTTCACGTATAAACAATTGATCAATGCACATAAATCGAGCACATCAAATATGGTAATCGGAAGCACAAACATGCTTACTTGATGTGCAAGAATTAAAGGAATAGTTGTAAAATGAACATTTGCAGAACATGTACTCATCCTCAGATCATTCAAGATGTCGATTGTCTTTTCATCAGAACAGACTTGGAGAAATTAAGCATTACATCACTTGCTGACTAATGGATCCTCTGCAGTGAATGGGTGCCATCAGAATGAGAGTCCAAACAGCTGATAAAAACATCACAATCCACACGACTCCAGTTCATCAGTTAACGCATTGTGAAGTGAAAAACTGCATGTTTGTAAGAAACAAATCCATCAAGACAATTTAGCTTGATGGAGTCCTCTAATATCGCTTTCTCCAGTGAAAAAAAAGTAATCTTGTCTGAATCAGCAGTAAAATATGCACAGATCAAGTTCCGTTCACAAGCCAAAACAGTTCTAAACTAATAAGTTGGTGGATATTGATGTGATAGGACAGGAGATGGACTTTTTCTTTGGAGGAAGCAATTTTATGAATTTGTTTATTGTTATGTTTTTATTAGCTGTTATTCTGACGGCACCCATTCACTGCAGAGGATCCATTGGTGAGCAAGTGATGCAATGCAAAATTTCTCCAAATCGGTTCAGATGAAGAAACAAACTCATCTATATCTTGGATGGCCTGAGGGTGAAATACGCCTTTAAATCTGTTTGCCAAAAACAATTGTATTTCTTCAGCAGACTTGGATAAAACCGCTCAATTCATATTGTTTCAATTTTACAACATCTTTATGAACTTTTTTGAAGCATCAAAAAGTTTTAAGGCCATGACACACCATTGGCCAATGTCAATTTTACATCTTCATCTTACCTGAGCATTCTAACTATTCTAAATATTCTCATAACGAGAAAGTAAAGTGAATACCAACTGATCAACAAGCTTGATTTTCCAAATAGTAAGTGCTTGTCTTGTTTACGCTTTGTATATCCACAGACCTAGATTTGCTTTCCATTTTTGAACGATGAATATAGACTTACTGCCACCTGCTGGTGTGGAGTTATTGCCTCTCACACAGGCACAGAACGCACTTTTTGGCCGAGACGCAGGCAAGGTGAGGCGACAACACAGAGAGCTTTCGGCGCCACCAGTTCTTTGATGCCGGTTTGGTGTGTCACAGCCTTTTTTGGAACAGACTTCTTCTTCGGTTTGTCTTATAGGTTTGGAAGGATATGACAGTATAATTGATGACAAAAATTGTATTATTGGGTGAACTATGCCAAGGTGATTTTGCGTGTTTCATCTTTCCCTTCTTAACATGCAGACTAAAAGTAAGAACATTCTAAACTAAAACTGAAAGTAAGACATTCGCAGATTTCCCTTAAAAACAACTCCGTTTACAACACACGTTTCCTATCTGGATAGTATCTGGATATTTACAGCCATATTGCATTTATACCTTCATTCTAATGTGTTAGACTGAAAATATTTCAACATTGAAAACCTGCACAGAAAGTTGTAAAGGTCACACGGTAGCAACCTGTAGCAGCTGAAGTCTCCAGCGCACACACCGTCCTGCAGACTGCAGAATGCTAATGTTGCTAATCCTCCTCCAGGGCTGCTAGCGCAAACGCTGCCTCACTTTTCTTATGCAAATGGCGGCGAGCGCAGTAATCGCACTGGACCTGCCTGGGGACTCGCAGGCTGCCAGCAAATATTAGAATTATAGAGGGAAAAAAGGCTCACATTTGTCTAAAAATAATTAAAGATAAAGACTACAGAGGGATGAAATGTTGTTACCATGGCAATGAAGGAGTGTAGCATAACGAGAGGTGAACTTTTCAGGACACACACACACACACACAGAGACATATGGAAAGAGACTAGTTATAGCTCCGGTGGAGTTACCTAGGGTCAGAGCTGTGGCATAGCTGTTAGCATGCTGGAGATACGCTGATCACACAGGTGATACAAGTTTGAATCCAGCCTACAATGTGTACTATTTCCATCCCATACCCACTTTATCTATACAATAAAGAGGTGAGATTTTTTTTTTTTTTGATCTGTGAACTTTTTTACAATAAGGATGCATTAAAATGATCAAAAGTGACAGAAAAGACATGTATAACGTTACAATAAATTTCACATACATTTTTATTTAGAATTTTCTATTCTGCCTAGAATCCTTAAAAAAGGATCATGGTTTCCACAAAAATACTAAGCAGTAGGGCTGGGCGATATGTCAAAAATATCTTATCGATAATCGCCTTTAACCCTTTGGGGTCGACAAACGCGGATACGCGTTTTGTGGCATCTTCTCCTGATAACACCGAAAAGAACTTAAATTACACTTTCAGTTTTGATCTTACAGATAAGAGCAATACATCAATCGAATCTGTAAATGGTCTACTTTTATTTGTATACACACATAATAACAACAAAACTTTGTGCATTTATAAAATAAAGAAAACAAACAGGGTGCGCTGTC